TTCTGCTATAAATTAAATTCCTTTTTTTTTACTCAATAACTTTCTGAAGTGTCTTTTTTGTAGAATGATAGATAATTTCTATCTTTCCAACCCATGAAAATCTTGATTTGTCCATAGTAATAGTCAATAAAACTCATGTATTTTAAATAAAGACTGGCATTTATCCTTTCCATTTTATTATAATTTTGTTGTGGTTTGTATCACTTATCATAAGGATAACCAGAATGTGGTTTTGCTGACATAGTTAAACATTGCAGGCTCACAGAGATATATATAACCAAGAAATTTAGCAAATACAGATACTAGGCAGCACATTCTTGACTTCAGAGGCTATTTCAAAATACTTACAGTGTTCTCAGCAAAGCAGGGGATGGAGGATACACTTCTTGCACTGCAGGTTTTTAATTAAACAATAAATGTAAAAATTCTTTTTAAAAGCAGAGAAGTTACTCAAACTCGGCAATGCTTTCCTAAGGAAGAAACAGTAAGCAACACACAAAGTCAGATGATGTTGGTGTAAAAGAGAGGTTTCCGTAAGCAGGCTAAGGTAAGATAGAAGTTAAGTTTAGACGTACTTTGCTATGGCAGTGTGTTGTCAACAGAGTCCAGAAATACTGTTATCTCCTATTGGGTAGAGGTAAGGATGACAGCCCTGTTAAGTGATAAAATAAACCAGGAGATTGATGTAGAAGCTAAAAGGTGATAGATAGGTGCTAATTAACATGAGCCATATTCTGATGTTGCCTTGTGCCTGGGATGTTTTTGTAGAGTCAATGAACTCTACTGGTTACATAGGAAAGAGTCCAGCGCAGAGCCACAAAGATGATTGAGGGAGTGGAGCATCTCCCTTATGAGGAGCAGCTGAGGGAGCTGGGTCTCTTTATCTTGGAGAAGAGGAGACTGAGGGGTGGCCTCATCAATGTTTATAAATTTGTAAAGGGCAAGTGTCAGGAGGAAGGAGCCAGGCTCTTCTCTCTGATGTCAAATAATAGGACAAGGGGCAATGGGTGCAAGCTGGAGGATAGGGGGTTCAATCTGAACATAAGGAAAAACTTTTTTACTGTAAGGGTTACGGAGCACTGGACCAGGCTGCCCAGAGAGGCTGTGGAGTCTCCTTCTCTGGAGACACTGAAAACCTTCCTGGATGTGTTCCTGTGCGACCTAGTCTAGGTGATCCTGCTCTGGCAGAGGGGTTGGACTATATGATCTTTCGAGGTCTCTTCCAACTCCTGAGCTTCTGTGTGATTCTGTGAAATAAATAAAATGTCCACATGTTTTTTCACTAGGGACTGCATGTAGCTGAGCCAACCATGTTGAACCAGGTCATGGTCATTTTATAGAACAGCCTAGTTTGAGCCTGTGCTGGACTTGTTTTTTGCCAAATAATTGCATAATGTAGCTCCCCTGCCCAGCTATTTGATTTAGTTGAAAGTCACAATCTGAACAGGGAGTAAAAGTCTTTAAAGACTGAGTAAAGGCTAATGATACTTTACAGTAGATATGCTAACTATACAGGTTAGTGATTTATATGTGGGAGTAATTTTGCTCCTCAAAGATATTCTGATAACTTTCTTGAAATATTTCTACAAGTTGTAGTTAGTTGAAGGTACCATTTTCTTCTGGATGGATTATTCAAGTACCAAGGCTTTCACAGGAGGCCCATGCCAAATAATGGAGTGCCTTGCAGGGACTGCCAAGTATTTTTCAGTTTCACAGTGCTCCAACTTCCCAACCTATGCTGAACAGCTACAGGGCAAGAGAGAGTTGTCATTCGTGGGTTGTTTTTTGTTTGTTCTTTGGGTTTTTTGGGTTTTTCAGTTGTTTTGTTTTTGTTTTTAAATCAGTGAGAAACTACAAGGATCTTATCACAGAGAAACTGTGGCACATTCATGAGGTGCATGGCCATTACTGTTTTGTGCAAAGAAAGCTGAGATGTTTGTGTATGTTTGCTGTAGTTCTCTTGGCTGTTATAACTGCAGAAGCAGGGGAGGGGAACTAATTGGTGATAGCACAAGCCCTCTAGTAAAAATACTGCAATAGGATGCAGAAGAAGAGAATTAATTTCCTAGACCTTGTATAGTTTTCCCAAGGACATCTCATGTCCCTACACCAGTTTCTCCATTTGTAAGGAAAGGTAACTTGTTTTCTAGTTTGGGGATTTTTTTTTTTTATTTTTTTTTTAAGGAAGAGAGAATTAATATCAGGCTTTTCTAAAAAAGCCCCCAAAAAACCAAAAAAACCCAACAACCCAATATTAGTAATGGATATTTAGACACCTTTCTGAGGGACATTGGCTCATATTAACATTGACAGGAAACGATTACCTGTTCTCTGAACTGTTTGTGAAGTGCTTGAACAGTTAGCATTCTTGAAGTGGCTCCATGACAAAAAGTTTGTAACATTTCTGCTTTCTCGCCTGAGCTCGTAATTTTTTTAATATGATTTTTTAAATGATTTTAAAATGTTGTCTTTTTTTTTTCTTTTTTCTTTTGGAACCATTTAAGATCAAGACTGGGATAAAAGAGAGGGGCGGAGTGGTCAGGTGTACTGTACTCATTTTGCTACTGCCCTGCTATTGTGGAGGATTCCAGAAATGCCAAGTGTCTCATTCATAAGCATTTAGAAAACCCAGACAAAGAAAGCCACATTAATTCAGCAGTGCAGTAGGGAAAAATAGTTGTTTCACAGTCATTGCTTTTGTTTTCCAGAGGAGCCATTTGCTGAGCAACTGTGATTGCAGAATGCTTTGTCTACAGCTTTAGCTTTGTGCCAAGCTGGAGCAAGGGAGATGGAGTCATCATTCTTGTGTGCGGTTGTGATGCTGCCCAGCAACCTGGTTATACCATCAAGGAAGGAGCAGCCCATTTAACAAGTGGTAGGAGAGCACTGATTTTCTTCACGTTGGTTTTAGAGAGGAGCATGGGGATAGATTTGAATTGTCAGGTAGTTACTGAAACTTGGCCAAAATAGGTTGATGTAATAATTACTCCCTGTGTACTAAGAGGGTCAGAGCCAACTACTCAACAGTTAGCATAGCCACAGTTTCTACCTGATGAGAGCAGACCTTCAGCTCGTATGGGGGAGACAGGGATGTACTAGGAGATTTGTTATATATTAGCCTTAGAACAAAACTGAAGTAATTATAATGCTCTTTTAAATATATATATATTTAATTTTTCTGGTCTGTTTTCTCCCACTATGGAAATAAATAATTTGGGGGTGCTATACTAGTGGGGTAGGATACTTGCAGCTTTGGCCACAAGATTTTGCTCATTTATTTCCCCTACACACCTCATTCCCCTCTGCCCCTAAATTTGAGCATGGGCTGTGACAAACACAGGCTGAAAAATAGAAGTTTTAAAAAGGGAGCTGGTGTTTACGAGGAGAAATGTAGTCAAATGATAACTGCACCCACTGACCATGGTGTTTGCATTGCTTTACTTCGTGACATTCTGGACTAAAATAATCCAAAAGGAGGTTGAGGGAGGAGAGAAAGGAACATCAGCAACGATTTCGGTTAAGCAGGAGGAACTGCAGGTAAAAGAGCCGTGTCTGTACAGTTGTGCGCTCACCCAAGCCATCCTCTCGCACCCATCAGCAGGTTCAGTGCTCCCTCTCGTGGCAGATTCTGACAGGCAAATTCATCGGAAATCCCTGTTCCTGGCAAAATGTGCTCTTGCTTAGCTATCAGAAGTACCTGGCATCCAAGTATTTTAATGCTACTGTATACCAAGCTTAATAGACTTCTAAACACAAATAGCACTGAATTCTTTTTTTTATTGACGTCGGGGGAGAAAAATCTTTCACCATCTGATTGACTGAAGTTTGCCAAATGAAAATAGACAAAACAAATGTTTATGTACGTGCAAACATTGCAGATCAAACTGCTAAAAGAAATAACTAAAAGACAGGTCTTGAGCTAAGATCAAGCAGCAGAAAAATAGCAAATAGGTAAATGACTATTAAGTAGGTCTTACTTTGAAACTTCCCATTTAAACAAAGAATAAACAACAATAACACCACCAAATAAAGCCACAGCAGGTAATAGTTGCTCTTCTAAACTTTTATACACTATATATTAATCACTCTGTCTTTCAGTTATTTCCTCTGATAAAACTGACTTCTGTGAAGTCTCAGCAAGGCCATCTTGGCTAAAAGCATAACGTTAGACAGGCGCCTGTCTAATGCCCTGTTATAATGAAGAAATGGTGGGGGTTGGCTTCTGTTGTCTTTCATTTTCTTTGTTGAATATATCTGGAAACAAGAATCTCATTCTATGCAAATATTAGGTTTAATTTTCCAATGCTGGCTGGTGTCTGAAGATCCTGGAACAAAAAGGTGGCTCTTGGTAAAGCAAGATTCTTCTTGGTCCGCAGGTAATATAGAAGAAAGTTTCAGTTTCTTTGTATAAACCATTTTTTATTAAATTGCCTTTTTTTTTTTTTTGTAAACAGTTCTTCTGGGAGGTGAGCCGTTATGGACCTTCTCTACAGATATTTGACATTTCCATTTTGTCTTTAGAGGTCCATTTTGGCTCCAGTTCCAGGTTATGTCATTCTATTATACATCATCAGAGGCAGGTGTTCAGCTTTAAATATTGACAGATTTTTCTCAGTAGGAACATGTTGAAGCTTCTAACTCTGCTAAACATATTCATTTGACTGTTACAATCCAAAAACTGTAAAAATGGTGGAATGGAAAGATACAAACAGTATTATTGACACTGTATTGTCAAATGTTTGCACTGAGACCCCATGTACCATAGATTTTATTTTTAAAAAATCATATTTATATCCATTTACATAAGACTTACACATTTTAAAAGAAATACATACACATTAAATACGTAAATGTCTAGTATTTTACAATAAAACAGATGGAACAATGTAAAAATGAGTGGCTTCATTTGATAAAAGCTTTGGATGTGCACTACTGCCAAATTTTGGATGACAGAGATGCTGAGAGAAAAGGATGCTGATTTGTTTTTATCTTTCTTTTTAAGTAATGTAGGTATTTTTTTAATTCTTGTTTTAAACTAACCGATACATGAAAGGAACATCAGATCTGTTTATCTGATATACCTTATGTGTTCTCTTCCCTATTACCCTGTTTTTGCAGAGAGTTTTAATGCTCTTTTTCTAAGTAGTGGTAGTGCACTTCAGGTAAAGTAGAAGAAAGAGATGACATCTAAGGAAAGAACAAACAAACATTAATTAGCGAGATTCTTTGATTCTAATTTGATCTAGGATGCAATAACACCAAAAAATACTATAGCATTAAGGAAGCTATTGAATGTTTTACTAAAAACATGGGCTTTAAAGTATTTGAGGCAGACATGCATTTGTTGTTTAATTTTAAATTGGCAACATAGATCTGTTAATAATGCATTTTGATCTTTTACTAATGTATACTAATTTTTGTCCTAGATCAAAACAGACTCCTGCTTATGTTCAGCTTACAGTTGTTTTCTTACTGTTTTGATTCAGCGCTGGGGTTAGTTTCCTGCATCTGGAGACCTTTGCCTGTTTGGCACAAGACTGAACACAAGGTTTAAGTGCATAGACTTTGATGATGTACTCTGTGACTCTGCTTGTTCACTGCAGCTTGCCAGCATTTACCTTTTTCACCCTGGTGATTTCTTTGCTATGGACCATCTGTTTCCAGATTATCATTCTCATCTTTTTGGAACTCTTCTTCTCCATCTGTCTTTACAAATCCTCTTTGGAACCTTTCATTGATAGAGTACGTGGTTGATTTTGCCAAATCCCCTTTGACATTTCAGTAGAATAAAAGTGAAACTTGTATGTTCTGTTGCACCAGCCTGTGGCAACAAAACTGTTCTGGCTGAGCCTTCTGACTTGGTGGTGACAAGAACTTCATAAGAGAAAACTGTTGGGAAAGCTGTGACTGCCAAATCCAGTGACTGTGTAATGGCATTGCAGATGCTCAGCAGGGCAACATGCAGCCACTGCAGCAGAAAGCTTGACCCCATACCCTGTGCTCTGTGGTAAACTTCTTTGCAAGACTAAATGACCAACACCAGCAGTCTTAAATGTTCTAAGATTTCTGATCTTGAGAATGCACTCAAACTGGCTGATTTATATCATTTATGTGTTTCATCACCATCTCTGTAGGACCAGCTGCTAAACTTACCTATTTTAGGAAAAAAAAAATCTCCTGTGCTTATTTTTCAGTGGTGACATGAAAAGTTCCATTTTCTACTAGATTAAGATTTTATGCTCTTGCAGTCTCCTGAAGATCTATGAAGAAAAGCTCTTGTCCTCAGTAGGGTCCTGAGCAACCTACTTTTCTACAGGTAACATTTGCTGTTCCTCTGCATTTCTTGACTTTCTTGCAGATCTTGGCGTGTCTTGTCTACAATATGTAACAGCTATTGAAGCACGTTTAACGTCTGGTGAGGTTTTGGTGCTATCCAAATATTCCCCTACAATCCCCTGAATAACTAAATGGAAAAACTGTTTCACTGAGAAAGTATTAGCATGAAATGGTGCCATACTGATGAAAGCGCTCATCATGTTGGTATTTTTTGCCAAAACTTGTGATGCAGCAGAAAAGAGTATTTCTGCAGAACTCTGGAAGAGTGAATCTGCAAGATTAATAGCAATATTCAGTGGTGAGAAATGCAACATGAATTCCACTACTAGATTTGATCCAAAGTTGCATCCAGCTCAGAATATCCTTTCTTTGCCGCTGGTCAATTCTGTATGATTTAAGAAATGCAAGAGTCTCTGTAATAGATAACTTTGGGAGATTTTCTGTATAGGGGAACTTTTGTTCTAGCTTGATGCAGTTACCTGATATTCTAAAATGACCCATATCTCTCATTAAAAAAAAAAAAAAGTAAATCTCTTCTGCTTTACTAGCATTTTCCTAGCTCCTGGTAGAACTACTTAAAGTTCTCATAAAGTAAATTCACTCCCTTTGCTTACTGCTATCTCCTTAATTCTGGCTTTATGTTTGAGAGCATACAAAATATGTCATGGGTGGTGAACTATCATCTGAACAGAGTTGTCTGAAAACTTTTGTCTAAACTGCTGAAGTGGTTTCAGCAGAAAGAACCTGCTGTTTGAGATGGGGAAAAGAATAGTGTAGCATCTCCTGGACTGAGCTTGAGGATGTCATGATCGAATGACCACCCTAGTGAGTCTTGAGTTAGGTCCTCTGCTCCAGGCTGGCTCTTGCCTGAATAATGCCAAAGAACATTTGGTGTACAGTTATAAAGAGCTTTCATGATGGCCCCTTCTGAATACTCACAACAATTCAGTGCTGGCTTCTTTGCTAGGCCTTGTCAGCATGAGTATGTGCGAACTGTTGAGCTGTCTAACCTCTGCAGTCGTGATGAAGCAACTGCAAATTGCAAAAAAAAAAAAAAATCATGAAGAAAAGAAATCAGTCTGTTTCCCACTGGAAGGATGGCTATAAGATTGCTCTGTGGCTTTCCATGAGATGATCTGGGTGTGGTCTAGCTCAAAACTCAGTTTCTTCACGTCTGGTGTACTACTGAAATCCGTCTGAAGTGAACACAGTTTAAAACTCAATTTTGTCTTTATTTTGGTTTAAGTCCTATATCTATCATGCTGTTTAAATACTATAGCATTCTTAACACTGGGAGATAGGAAGCCAAATCCTGGATGGAGATGTAAGTCTTCAAAGCTACCTACCTTTATGTCTACTGAGTTCAGTACCCAGCTTAATAATAAACTGTCTGGAAGACTCAAGTAAATCAATAAATCTGCCTTGCACCTTAGTTCCCCATCTGTAAAATGGGAATATCATCTTCAACCTCATGGCATGGCTAGAAGATGAAATCCATGAATGTTTGTAAGGTACTTAGCTACTACAGCAGTGTAGGCCATGTAAATGCCTAAGGAGCTAGTACCTTTACTTGTACATCAAATTTCCCATGGAATGGATTCTTGTCTTACAGCTTCATCTTTGCCAAAAAGTGCAGGACTAAAAGCAAAGCATGCACATGAGCAGTGGAGTCAATGGAATTCAGTGATGCAATTGGCAAGTTATTCCATCTGTAACTGCAACTGTAAAGCATTCTTTTTTAAAGGTGGGAAAATTTAATGGAATTTAGATGGCTTTAATGGAATTTAGATGGCAGTACTATCATACCAAGTTCATTCAAGAGTTACAGAATGCAATCACTACAGGCAATGTATTAAATTACTTTGAGACATGTCAATTCATAGACCTAAATTCTCTCATGAGGAATTTGAAATAGGCCAGTCTCCACATTTGTAATCTCAGAACTTCAGGCAGGTATACATGGCTTTATCATCCATGTACCTGAAGGAACAGCTGAATGGGATTTGTCCCTTCTCCTTGCCCTCTTACAATTATTTTAACATTTTACTTATTTTTTAATTGTGATCTACATGTTACTTTTCCAATCATTGCTGAATTAGTGCATCCTCTGAAAATGAAAAGATATCCAGAGAGATTTAAGAGTGGTATACAGTAACTCAATTAGAACCTGAAATTCAGTATTTTCTAACTACACTACTCATCTGATAGTTATTAATTGTTAGCAACTTGAGTTATTTGAAGGTCAAGGCTAAGCTAGTTAGTTTGAAAGTTAAATAGGAAAGTAAAGGTGATAGCCCTTCTGAAGTTCATGTTCTAGAATACACTCCACCTGCAAGAGTCTAATGAGCTGAAAAATTTGCTTAGGTATTATATGCAATCTTCTATTAAAGTCAGTAAATCAATTCCTCCTTCTAAATGTTTCCTTTGCATATCTAGGATGGCTAGATTGCCCCCCCTTTTTTTTCTTTCAGTAAACTCTGACAGTCTGAAGCAAACCTGCAGCAATCAATAGTATGCCAAGTCAGTGCTTTTCCATTCCCTAATTCAACTCTCCCAGACTTCATTAATCCTAGTTACATGAACGCAGCCATTCTGGTGCAAGACAGACATGCATTGAAAGTCAGTTTAGCATACTGGAATAAGCCTCTTGCTCTTCAACAGTAAATGCAGAAATGACAGCGTACCATCAGTTGCCATCTTCCGTGACTGCCCTGATGTTGTGGTTAATCTGAACCCAGCTGGCAGCGTTTCCGAGGAGCCTGGCATCATGCTGATCCCGTGAACCTCGCGTGGAGGAAACTGTCGTCGCCAGGAGGGGCCACGTCTGAAGTTCTTGTCGTCACTCTGTCAACACAGAGAGTTGTATTTGATAAAGCAAAATGAAAGCTTTTGATTAATTATCCTGCTGTCTGCTGCCTCTCCCACTGTCAAAATGTATTCCACAACAACTACCCTGCTCTGTTGCACTGCACCCAGTAACTACAATCCATTTGAAAAACTCTTGTAAAAGTAAATGCTTTAGAAGCATTAAATGCTAGGGTGGAAAAAATCTTCTTACATCTCTGGCTGGACATAGTAGGGGGTTTTAGTATCAGCTAAAGTAGAACTTTCTTAAAAGTCAGATCTCATTCAAATACACTGACAGAAAGGACAGTGGTTTGTAACTGCTTTAGGAGGCTTACATGAAGTGCTAATAAAGAATTAAATACTCTTGTGCATGCACAGAATTCATAGGCATCTCACATGTTCAGAAAGTCCTTAAAAGTTTTATTCCTCCTCACGTGCAAAAGTCCAAGACGTGAACATTTTTGCACTGAACTCTTACCTTAAGATCAGTATTTTCCATAGGTGGATTTGAGATTCCCCCATCCTAGTTAACTGTCCCAAATCACACTCTATTGAATATTCAACCTTGAATAACAACAAAAAAACCCCACCAAAAATCCACTTTTCTTCTTTCTTCTTTTTTTTTTTAATAGAAAATGTGCAAATGTCCTAAAGAATAGCTTGCAGACATCCTCCCCTGCCACTTGCTCTGGCCAGTGAAACTTCCACTACCTTCTGCATTTTTCCCCTATGGAAAATGATCATATTAAGGTAAGAGGGCAGTGCCAAAATTAGCATCCAAAATGATGTGAATATGTAGCCATACTGAGGTTACTTTAAAAACCTTGACCGGCATTTCCTAATTTTTTCTTAAGGCTGACTCTTTTTAACCATGTACAAATTAACACGTCTTCATGCATTCCATTTAATTTTTATATTTCACTGTGATATTTTATAAATACTGAAAATAAAATTAATTACTTCCTCAAGTCGTCTTTCAGTTCCTAGTGCTAAAAGGTTGTTGTATTCTCTCTCAAGGATCTGCCGTGCCTAGAGACACCAAAGTAAAAAATTAAAATGGTTGAAGAGGAATAAAAGGCAATAATGGGTACAGATTAACCAGAAGTAGCATGAGCAAACTTGCCTGGGTGTTTTGTGTTGGAATCTGTAATAATAAAGCTAAACTGCTGTAATCAAAGTTTTCATCCAGCGCTATAAGTGAACCATGTACACCACTTTCTAGAATATTATTTGCATATTCTCGAAGGCCAATAGCTTGTATCCAGCGTATGACTCGATCATTGCTCCATACCAGCACATCTGTAAGGACATGACACCGGTTCAGTCTCCTGATACCTGATAACTGCTGAACTATACAGGTTGAGCATGCACTGTGGATGTCATTCTGCTTTATTTCTTAACTGTGGAATGTCAGCAAACTATTCATATAGCTTTAATAGCTTCAGTATCTCCGATTCAGAACCCAAGGTGTGGGAGTAACTGTGTGATTTTAGCTACCTTAAAGTTAAATGTTCACTCTAAATAATGTTTCCAAAGGAGAAAGGTGCCTCCAGAGGGCATCTCCAGAATGCAGTTCCTCCCACGTCTTATAGATAACCTTTTCAATTCTTAGCCAAGATTTTACAGTTTAACAGTGCAAGGGCACAAGAGAAATATCCATTCCTCTAGGCTTTACTGGAGAGTTTTGTATTAAACATTTTGAGTCAGGTCAGCACCTACCATTTTATAACATGCCATAAAGCAAACGATGAGTTCACAATTTTATAGACTAAAACTATTTTTAGTTCAGAAAGCTGGTTTAGCTGTTAAGGTCCATGCCAATCATAAAGCTAAGGCAAGAAAATGAGCTAGGAAACCATTTCTGAGGATTTGGCTATTATAAAAAAGTATCCTACCCTGCCTGTAAGATTAAAAGTAGGTTACTTATACTGATCTTTATACTTGTGAGTGGGAAACATAATACCGAGTTTTGTGTTACCAAGTGATGAGGCTTTTCCCTGAATCCTTACAAGCTCTTAATGTAGCTGTTCTGGGAGCAGGCACTTTCCATTGCCGGACCTAAGAGCATTGCAGACTTTGGGGTCAGGATCAGATGAAATGCAATGTGGCAGCCAGGGGTCACCAAGACCAAAACCCACCTGGAACCACATCTTACTGACCAATGGATGACAGGGTGATGTTTGGGTGAAGGAGGCTATGGGTTTTTACCCTTGTCCTAGCTGTAATTAGCACTGAAGCAACACCAGAATTTGAGACTAATTCCCAAATTTCCTGCATCAGTCTCCAGCTATACCCACTCTGGCTGACTGACACTAAAGCCTCCACATCCAAGCCAAAGTCTTTGCTCTAGTGTGTGCCATCGTCTGCATTGAGCAAATGAACACTTTCACTGTAACCATTCCCCCTGCTAATTCCCTTTTTTTTTTTACAGCTCTTCCAATCAGCATTGTGCTTGAGAAGTGTAAACTGCTGCCTTACTCTAGAGCTGGAAGTGCTTAAAGCAATCAAAGGATTAACTTCTGATAATGGAAAAATACCAAGAACCCTAATTGTTATATATAAAAGGAACCATGCAGTGAGCCTGCAACTGCTCTAGGGAGCTTTACAGAGAAAAATACTTTCAGATCAGCTGTTAAGTCTTCTAATAAGGCCATTTCTGTTACGAGCTATTCTTAGATACCAACCAACTGCCTCAGTGGCCATCCTGCAAACAACATTTTCTATGATACACATTGTGAAGTAAGAAATCAAAGGCAAAGGTTTTCAAAAGCAGGAGCACAGTATTAGGGTCCTGAGTGCTCTGATTTCCCAGTGTAGCCCCCAGCATGTCCCATTGATCTGCAGACCATTTAGCCTTCTGAGACTGAAAATGGCTAGGATAAGATCAGTCCCGAAAATCCAATTTAGCAAAATGTATGTATCAAACCACCATTCAGAAGTGCAGCCCCAATTTAGCAATGTACTTAACTGCGCCTAATTTAAGGAGATGCTTTGTGATCTCAAGACAGATGGACTTACATTAGTTTTACTTAAAGCACATGCTTAAATACTTTGCTAAAATGGCATGACAAGGGTTTAGTAGTGTCAAGCTTCAAAAGAAGAAACATTCCCAGTATTCATTCCCAGGAACTATCACCTTTTATTTCATGCTGACTCATTTCTCTTCGCTTTTCCAGTTCTTTTCTATCATAATTCAACCTCTTTAAACACATGATTCCATATTGCAAGCTTGTTCTGTTATTTAAAGAGAAACATTTACAGAGTTAATAAAGATAATTTTGAAGATAGGAACATATGTAGGATGTATTTCCTGCATTTCATGGTGTTTCATGGTGCCCAAGTAGCAAGTCTTGAGGACAGAGGGGAGAGCAAAACCATTTAAAAAAACTCCACAGACTTCAAAAATGAAATGGGCGCAACCAAAATGAGTATGATTGAATAAATGTTTTAGCATATGAAACCCGATGCATTAAAATTTGCATTCAGAAAAGGTCAGCCCTTGAGAGCTGTGAAATGTTTTGTCAAATCAAGCCTCAAAAAAGTGACAAATCAGACAGTGCATTAAAAAAAAATCCACTTCTTGTCACATAAACATCATTCTCCCTAAATTATAAATGCCTTTATTTCCAATATAGCTTCCTACCTACATACATAGATAACGCGAACAACTGTCAATTTGCTTGTACTGTTAACAGCTTTTATGTGCTACAAACAATAGCTTTTCATTATTATGGGATCTCAGCACTTCAAATCTTCATCTACCATATTCTGATACCACTTAATAAATTCTGAAACTACTTAATAAATTATTACTGTTTCTGTGTAGTCAAGGCTTTATATATGAATGGTTCCTTCCCCATTTATTAAGAAATTTATCTGCACCAGTATCTCAGTTTTGAGACACATAATTGCAATGCAATTGCTATTACTAAAGGAATCTCTCTCAATTCAGATTTCTGACACTCAGCACTCACTTTTCTGTGTGGTTTTCCACTCCAGAACAAGAGAGAGTAAGGGGTTTTATTCTGTGCAGTACTGAGCACTACGTCAGTCACATAAATGTCTGCATAGGTATAGTTTTTATGCCAACATACCGATGAAAGCTATCCACCATTTTTAAGTGCACACGTAGATCTTTCTTCGTCAGGTGATCTAACATCCTCGCATCTACCAGGCATTCCATAAAATAACTTCGGTACTGAGGTAAACCCAGACTAGGGAGCCATTCGTTACCTATCCATTCGTGGTTCATATCACCATAAGCCAGGGTCTAGAGATGAAATAAAGGAGAGGGTGAATAAATTCTGGAGTTTGTTCAAGCTTGCACCACAGACTGAAGACAGAATATGCTGCTTTCTAGTGAGAATTCCTAGCTTAGTAATTCTGTCTAAAAGAAAAGCATTCCGATTTTGTATCATTTTGACATTTGAGGTGGAAGCCCCTGTGAGATATTTGATACTAATAGTAGTCTTGCCTGTCTTGTTTTCTATCTTTGTAAAGTTTTCTATCTTTGTAAAAGACATCTTTTTCTATCTTTGTTTTCTATCTTTGAAAAAATAAGCTTTTTTTTTGTAATAAAAAACTGTAGTTTAAATTTTGAGTTTTAAATGCAAGCAAAGTTATTACACTATGAAAATGTGTTTGATTCATAATCTTACAGTTGACCTCTTAGAATATTTATGCTAGGCTACAGTAAACTTGGTAATACAAACATGGCTCCAGGGAAACAACTGAAGTTTGTGACACTGTTTAGTGGAGCTAGGATTTCCTAAACAGGATCTAACTATACTTCATGGTTACACAACTATAGTCCTTTTGACACTAAAAGTTAATTTCAGCTGTTTGTCAGCCAAGCTTACTTGACTTGCCTTCAGCATCAGTCAGAGCAAGTGACCAAATACATTCTATCCACGAGGTCTTTTCAGCTGTTAACAGCTTAACCCTAAGTGCATCATATGTGGAGCTCAATAAATTAATATTTTTTAAGATGGGAGCAAACCAGATTCATCCTAGAAGCTAGCATTCAGGCATTAAGCTACTTCATTGTTCAGCTGAAATTTCAATAGGGTGAGGAAGAAAGTACATGAAAAAAACACGTCCATGTTGAGCTATTTTTACATGGGTTGCACAATTAAGATGCAAAATAGATATACTCTACATCTCGCTGCTGTCAATTATTTTGGTACTACTAAAGCTTAATAGAAAAGAGGACTCCATTTGCAAGATTAACACCTCCTCAATGTGACTGTGCTCAGCTTTCAGCATCACTTTCAAGCTTAACCATCCTTTTGTTTTTGTTTTTAGTCTCCTGTCATTATAGACAAAAGGATAACACAGTTTGAGCCAGATATACTTTCTGTGGGGGGAATATAGTCTCCTCATCTCTCATTCTTGTGAGATTTTGAAGAGAAAAGGAATGCCATAAGCAAAGACAGTAAGACTATGTAAGTGTGTGCATACATTAGAAAAAGAAAAAAGAAGTTGAAGAATATAAGAGATAGTCTAACTAAAGCGAAAAATTTTGTTCCTATACAAGACTATTTGTAGACTGATACTTGGGTGTGTTTTATACAATTGTTCTAAAAAAAACTGGTGTAATTTTAGAAATGTTAGATCTCAAAATCTTGGCATATTTTATTAGCCTATTCCCAAAAAATGAGGAAGATTTTTTTTCCTAGGTTTATGTGGAAGAAAGAAGGTATCTCTAAAACGTAGCCAGCTGGGAATATTTAGACTCTCTCTGAATGTGGAATCCACTCTGAATGTGTATTTACTAAGCAAAAATAATGGTCATAATAAGATGTGGGAATACAAGGAAGTGACCTAACATGCCTAGGTATATGACCCAACCGTATGTGCCCTGTGCAGGGACACTGCCAAGCATCCCTGTCTGCCATGATGCAAAAGCCTTTTCCCATCTTGTGGGTCACTGCGCTGCCATAGGCTGCCGCACATTACCTGACTCAGAGATGGGTTTCAGGCATCCATTCAAATCATGGCTGCCTCTGCTTCATTTTTTGATCGTCTCTGGGACATTAACAAATCATACAAATAGCTGGGAGTGTAAAATAAAGTACTCTATTGAGGCCCCTGAAAACATTAATTTGTATATGGTAACAGCAATTTTTTTCAAGAAAAGTATTTACAGCATGTGTGCCTTACCCAGCAAACATGTCCAGAGAGCGTTTTCTTTGTATTAGAAAGACTAGAATGTGTAAATCATAATGGAGTCATTGAGATATCAGTGCAATACTATACTCCTCTCTGCATACCAATACTCTCTTAATTACATTGTTATTAGCTTTCTGTTCAAAAAAATTCTTGTGAAAGGGTCATACCTGAGCCCAGCTCCCTTCTTCGGACTCTTTCTGTATAATC